GAGCGTCGTCTTCACCGAGATTCACGTCAAAGTTTATGGAGAGACGAGGAGTAAGAGCTCCGAGGATGCGTTGGACGACGACCCTCCACGCCCGCTTTGTTCATGCTGTTCAATTATTGGGCGGTCATGAAAGTATGTTTCTTTTTATTTTTCATATAATGATCCATATGAGTCACAAAAAAAGTGGCCCAATGGGGTTTAGCTTCTTCTTCTATCTCTTTTTTTTTCTTTCTAAATTGTGGATATATATATATTATTTATTGGGGGTTTTGTTCCCATGGGATTTAATTAATTATAGGAGCAACACCTAAATCAGTTCTTGAGCTCATGGATGTGCAAGATCTCACCTTGGCACATGTTAAGTCTCATCTACAGGTACTCTCCATGTTTTCTCTAGATGCCCTCATCTACAAATTTATTGTACGTAAACCCTACATATATACACACAGTTAATTATTATAGATTTGTACAGCTATAAAATACTGTTGTGTGTGTGTATATATATATATATCCACGTATATACACTCATCCTTTCTTTTTGATGGGTTAAAGTAACCAAACATTTCATTTTTTAAACCGTCGTTAACAAAACACGTAGACACATGCATATATGGGTACGCATTTTTATGGATCGTAAAAGTCTTGTTTTTGCTTTGTTCTCACTTTATATATATATATATATATATATGCGACTTTGAACATGTAGTGGCATATAGCTAATAGAAAATCGTGGTATATGATATATGGAGCCCATGCATGCAGTGTATTGAAGTTACATGGTGTAACGTGTTTTAAATTAATTTCAGATGTACCGGACCATCAAATCAGCTGAAAAAGGGTCGGGTAAGTTATGTAATATACAGTCGTCGAGTTACTGATCATGGGCTCGTATTGTTGTTAATCGGACAAGTTTACGGTGCAAATGTAACTTGATCGAAACGCATATTCAGATGATGCTTGTGGGAATGGATCGTCTGGTGGGAACTGCGAGGGACAAAAGCAGAAAGGAAGAAATCTCCAAGGTCTGTGGAACAACTCCTCGAGGTAATGCTTTGGAATCTTGTCTTGTTTTAATCTTTTTCAACTGAAGAAACACATACACACATACACGCACGATTGTAAGCCTGCTATACACACATGTATATATATACACGTGCATATGCACATGCATATACAGTTGATTGCCACGAGATAAATTAAGTTGACTCTTTTATGCGGATTTTTTTATTTAAAAAATGACTTTTTCAGAGTTTGATTTCTGACTAAAACATAACTTCGATTAATCACTTTCTCTTCGCACTGCTATATATGTATATATGTGTGTATATATATACACATATATACATCAAGCAGCGAATATTTTCCATCCAAAAAAGAGGTACAAAAATGAGTATCATATATAAATACATCATCTATAAATCCTATAGCAAAATTTATAATATAATAAACCATGCTTTATAAGATGTTGTTACGATTATACTGTAATTAAGACCGTTTGTTTTTGTTGGAACAAAAGCGAGTGGAAATATTGTACTATATATATATATATATGTGTATAGACATTAATTGTAGATTTTGTTTTTTTTTAATAATTGTTTTAAAATTGATATTTGATAGATAAAAAGGAAGAATGCGGAAGGAAGACGCCGAAACTACGAGAGAATGTCATCTGGTTCATCAAGCATCACCGTGGCACAGACTCCTAATCTCGATTTCATCTTGGCCACACCAAATCTCACTACCTAATTAGTATTTTCGTATATCATTGCATTATATATATATATATATATATAATATAGTAAGATTTGTCATTGTTATTATAATTATCCAGAGAGATTCAAATGAATCTCGTAGCTTTTGTGTGCTATTTCTCCTGCAGACCAAAATATACTACGAACAAAATTGATGCCATGAAGACTGGACCTATATATATATATATATATATGTATACAGTATATTTGATAAAAACTGGACCTATATTTACACTTTGCATGTCGATAAAAAGTTTTCTTTTTCATCCCAAAATATTTTTATTTATGAATTTTGTTATTCCACGTAGAATGAAGGAAAATTCCATTATTTGACATAAAATGCAATAGGATTTGGAAATGAATTAACATTACGGATGACAGAATAAAAAATAATAATTCGTCTTGGTGAAACGAGTTCTATCGCAAAAAAGGTTGAACGAAATTATTTGATCATCATTACAGATTTACATTGACGCACGTGTCACCATCACGACTGCTCTGACGCTGACCACTCCGTAAGCACGCCACGTGTCAGATACATTGAGGTTGACCCGCCTTTGACTTTCACTCTCATAATTTATTTCATCCATCCATACGGACCAAAGCAAGCATAGAAATGGACACCCATAAAAGAATAATAATTCAATTTTGTTGCGACCACATCAAAACGGGTTTCATGAGCTATCCGACCCGTTATGCCACATCAAAATGGGCCGGTCCCAAATTCGGCCCAATAATACGGGCCCATGACAAATCTAATTATTACGCGGTGGGTATTCAGGAATTCCATTACATCCATTCATGCATGTTACATCTGTCTGGTCTGAACAAAGGCATGCAACTTATGACAACATGATAATCAAGATCGGCATTAACTTCCATATATTTATACCTTTTTATACGATGATGATTAAATCCTCACCACACATTGTAATACGAAGGCTTAGATTTTTTTTTTTGGTAATGTGTGTTGATGTCCAAACTAATCGGGAAGCAATATATATGCTCTACCCCCTAACTTGAAGTTCGAATTCAGGGCGAAACAAACGTTTTGCATCCCATTTCACTGGTTTAATTATCTAAATAGAGATTTGGATATATAAAATCGGATTGAAATCGAGAACTCAACCGATCATTAATTTTTTTTTTCAGTTGTCAAAAGTATATATAGATAAAACTTGATCTAGAATCTCCATAATATGACATCTATACCTTCATATAACAATCGCATTTTCCATGAAAAGAAAATGTAAATCCCACCCCCTGAATGGTTATATATATATATATATATATACGCACTTTGTAATATAGTTCATGACAAACGGAACAAGCAGACCATCAGAACGTTTTTCTCATACGTTTAGATCGTTGAAATGGTCGCACCTGCGCCTCACCTCTCCTTCTCCATCGCCCTTGACGCCGACCTGGCCGAGTTTCTCCATCGCACGTGCGAAATCATCGAAGAACACTGTCTGGTTCGCCGCGTATAATTTCACGAACCTCCTCGTTCTCCTGTCCTTAAACAAAACATGGTCCGAAGCCAACAGCCCCAACCCTCTCCTCAGATTCTTGAAGTACATGTTGTCGAATTTCCCGGGCGTCATCACGTCGTTGAAGGCCGCGACCGTGTCGTCGGCCGTGTAGTTCTTGCAAAGATCCTTGAGGGCAGCCGCGAATCGAGGGTTGATCTCCTTATCGGCACGTGACCCGAAGATCCGGTCGCTGAATTCCTTGCAGTGAGAGAATCCAATGGTGTGAGCTCCGCTCAACGCCACCATCTCCCGGAGAGTGAAACCGTTCTTCTTGAACATTCCGAAGATCTGGTCGACCGTCTGGTTCGGCATCGGTAGGTTTCCTCGTACCTTGTTAGATCTGGACACCAACCCATCTTTCCGACCGAGCTTGACTTCGAAGAAAGGACCTCCAACCATGGTGACGAGATCACGCGTGGCCTGGGCGAGGACATCGGCACAGGAGACGACGCCAGGGCAAGAGAGTTCAAGGGCTGTCTTGATACGAGTGACGATGTCGAAGGCGTCACCGGGGAGGGACTCGTTCAGGTCATCGTCCCGTTCGGCCGAGTTGAAAGAGTTCGTGGCCACCAGTACGGACGCATCGCATCCTTCTAAGAAGCAGTCGTGGAAGAAAAGACGTAGGGTCCCGGCCGCGGTCGTTGGCTGTTGAACCTGCTTGGCCGTGACCGTCTCTCGTACGATTTTATTGAAATCAGGGCACGTTTTCCGGTAGTAGTCCGGACGTAGGTCCACGGCCGAGGAGAAGATCGGGCCAAGGACGAGAAATAGAAGGAGAATGTGAGGAAAAACACGTAGAATATCCATCCTGACCATTCGACGATATTGCAATAATTAACGCTATTAATGAATTGAGAGAGGTCTACAGAAGGGCAGACTTCTCTTGGGGAATAGAGAGAGAGAGGTAAGAGATTATTTCATGGCTCTCTCTCTAGTGGAGAAGAGAGAGAGAGAGAGGGTGGCTACGATACGAGGGGACGTAATTGTAGCTTTCACTTTATATGTACGTGTGGTCGGAGGCTGCATGCCTTCTTGTTTGTTTTTCTTTTTCTATTTTTGTATTTTTGTATTTCTATTTTGATTGTCCTGAATCCCTTTTTAACCGCTTAATTAATAAAATTATCGGTTTCTATATTTTGAACGTAAAAGGGCTAACGAGACTATTAGAAAAGGTTGGTTATTTATCTTCGTATATTGTAACATTATGAGAAAAATATACGATGACAAATTGTGCTAAAGTAGAGATATGGTGGTTACGTCACGTGCCGACGGAAGTGGTGAAAGGACCAATGTCACGTGACTAGGCGCGTCTCAACACGCGCAGCTCCTTTATCATCCCACGCGCCCTTTTCATTTCAGAGCCACGCACTTACGTTTTCCCTTTCATTCTCTCCGCTCTCTCGATTTTTCGTCTTCTTCGCCAACGCCTAACCCTAACCCTAACTCTTTCCAAAAGCACAACAAAATACAGACCGAAGAAGAGAGGAGTCGAAGGATCGTGACCTGGGAGCTTTGATTCCTCCCGATTTCCATGGATTCTCAACAGAACAACCTCTTCGAGACGGCGTCGCAGCCCGACACAGCCGCCGACGCATACACCTTTTTGGAATTCAATACCCAGGGCGAGTCTGAGTTCGACTACCCTGAGTTCCGATCACCGGCAGCGTGGCCCACGCCCTCTGATTCCCTCTCCATCCCTGACCCATCCGATCGCGGAGGTGCCGCCGGAGATCACCACTCCGAGGCTTCGTCGCCTTCCCCGTTGTCTTCGCCGGCTCCTGGAAGTAGCTCCAAGGGGGGACGCGGTGGAGTTGGAGGAGGCGGTGGTGGTGGTGGTAGTAGTAGCAGTCAGGTTGATGCATTGGCGGCTGGGATGGGGAATTTGAACTTCGAGGAGACCGGGGATGACGACGCTTTTGATTATGGAAAAGGGGATTTCACAGAGCACGCATGCAAGTATTGTGGTATCTCGAATCCGGCTTGCGTTGTGAGGTGCAATGTTGCGTCTTGTCGGAAGTGGTTCTGCAATTCGAGGGGAAATACCTCGGGCTCTCATATTGTCAATCATTTGGTTAGTAAACGATACTGGAATTCGGTTTTAGTTCTTCCTGTATCGCATCTTTTTGTCTGGAAGTGCTTTAGTTTCTAGTGCAGTTTAACTAGAAAACTTAAAGTCAGAATTGCTAGATCATGTGTTTTGTCGTGGTTAAGGCAGGTGCTAAGTTTTCTTTAAGTGATCATGTGTTCTCTGATTGTTTATGCGGTGGGCCTGCAGCATATTTGCTTTTCCATTGTTCAAGGTTTTTGAGCAAACTACTTGACCTCTTTTATATACTAAATGGGTTTCCTTTCGTCTGTTCTTTAAGGTTCGAGCAAAACACAAGGAAGTTTGTCTCCATAAGGACAGCCCTCTCGGGGAAACAATTCTTGAGTGCTACAACTGTGGGTGTCGAAATGTCTTCCTCCTCGGATTCATTTCAGCAAAAACAGAGAGTGTTGTTGTCCTTCTTTGTAGAGAACCTTGTCTAAATGTAAATGCCCTGAAGGACATGAACTGGGATCTAAGTCAGTGGTGTCCTCTGATCGATGATAGGTGTTTCCTACCGTGGCTTGTTAAGGTTTGTTTCTGTTCCTGCTTTTTGTTTTGGATCAGTGGATGGGACTTCCCATTCATGACCTACGGTATATTCTTGGTTTTTAGGTTCCATCTGAACAAGAACAGTTGAGGGCACGTCAAATTAGTGCACAACAAATAAACAAGATAGAGGAATTATGGAAGACTAATCCTGATGCTACACTTGAAGATCTTGAAAAACCTGGTGTTGATGATGAACCTCAGTCTGTTCAATTGAAGTATGAAGATGCATATCAGGTAAAGTAAATAATATAACATCAAGGGTCTTAGAGTGTGAATATATCTCATCATGTCGGTGGATAGCTTGAGGTTTCTGTTTGGGTTATGCTTTTATTGAATTTATCTGGCCATCTTTCTTCCTTTTTGCAGTATCAAAATGTGTTCGCACCTCTTATCAAGCTTGAAGCAGATTATGACAAAGTAAGTGTTCAATCATGCGGTCTCGGTTTTTTTCCTCCTGAATTCAGACACATTGAGTTGTTTTTCATATCTTCCTTTTTATGCTCTGTTCTATCGAATGTTATAGGGTCTTATCATTGTGCTTATGTTGTAGATGATGAAAGAGTCTCAAAGCAAGGATAATGTCACAGTTCGCTGGGATATTGGTCTTAACAAGAAGCGTATTGCATATTTCGTCTTCCCAAAGGTGGTTGAGACCTAACTGTTATGGATTAAGCTTTGAGTATCACTATATAATCCTAACTTACTTTTTCATGAAGGAGGACAATGAATTGCGTTTAGTGCCAGGTGATGAACTCCGACTGCGTTATTCTGGAGATGCAGCGCATCCAGCATGGCAGTCAGTTGGACATGTGGTACAGCTCTTTCTTGATTTTATATTATCTGCTCTGAGACTGAAAGCTTCAAGAAACTTTTAATTTCGTACCAAGAATTCTGTGCTTAGTTTTGGAATTTCAAATTTTCAATCGCCTTTTCTAGATCAAGCTAACTGCACAAGAAGAGGTTGCTCTTGAACTCCGTGTCAATCAGGTGAGTTTAATGTCATTTTCAGCCTTGCTTTTGACATCAACTGCTGAGCCCATATTGAGAGCCTTATTTTCTCTACCATGTAGGGGGTTCCTATTGATGTGAACCATGGGTTTAGTGTTGATTTCGTATGGAAGAGTACGAGCTTTGACCGGATGCAGGGAGCAATGAAGACTTTTGCTGTAGATGAAACAAGTGTGAGTGGGTAAGTTAGTCATCTGACATCCTTGTACCTCGCTGTTGATGCCACACTCTTGTGGTTGCTGGCCATGAATAACCACTGAATTACTGCTGCGCTTTCCGTGAAGGTATATTTACCACCACTTATTGGGACATGAAGTTGAGGCTCAGATGGTGCGTAACACACTACCTCGTCGTTTTGGAGCACCTGGTCTACCGGAACTGAATGCATCTCAGGTGACTTTTTATTTCCCTCCTTCCCAAGCGAGGCACAAGGTTGTGGAAGGTTTACAGATCAATCTCTTAGAGTGGTGGTGACACCATCTTTTAATTGTTTCCATTTCGTGTCTTGGAGTAGGTTTTTGCAGTGAAGAGTGTCCTTCAAAAGCCTATTAGTCTAATTCAAGGTCCTCCTGGGACTGGTAAAACTGTGACTTCTGCGGCGATTGTTTATCACATGGCCAAACAGGGCCAGGGACAAGTAAAGCTGACTTCTGTTCCCCCTTGAAATGCTTGCTTCAAGTTCTCTACCCATAGGTCTAACATTATTTGCTAGCAGGTTCTCGTTTGTGCCCCCAGTAATGTTGCCGTAGACCAACTAGCTGAAAAGATAAGTGCTACTGGTTTGAAGGTGAATACCTTACCTTTACTCTGTAGTTTTTGTACTTGCTGTCCATTCTGTTAAGTTGTCATCGTCATGTGTTCTATGGATAAAAATTGCATAATTCTTATCAGCCATGTCTTCCTTTTTTCCCCCCAAAACCTTTTTCTTTTTGGTCTCAGGTTGTTCGACTGTGTGCAAAATCAAGGGAAGCTGTAAGTTCTCCTGTTGAGCATTTGACCCTTCACTACCAGGTTAGTTAGCATGGTGGTATATTTGGACTCCCAGATCTCTCCGTTTCTTATGTATTTCTTTCTTCTTCCAACTCAATTGTTTTGGATGGCTGTGTGCAGGTTAGGCATCTTGACACATCTGAGAAGAGTGAACTCCATAAGCTGCAGCAGTTGAAAGATGAACAAGGTTAGACATGATAATTTAGCTTCTATTTGCGGCAGAGGTTTTTTATTCTTCATCTGTCTTCCTGTTATCAAGTGTGTGAAAGTGATCTGTTTACTTCGCTGTTTGTCTTCCCACCTCTTTAAGTGTGAAGACTTCTTGCATTCATTTTGCTTTTCTGTTTTAATTGTCACTAGGTGAACTGTCAAGCAGTGATGAAAAGAAATACAAAGCACTTAAACGAGCTACAGAACGCGAGATAACCCAAAGTGCTGATGTCATATGCTGCACTTGTGTTGGTGCGGGGGATCCACGGTTGGCAAATTTTAGATTTCGACAGGTTAGCAATATTTATTTAGTTTTATATCATCTCTGTTCTGTGGAAGCTGATGCATCTTTCCTCTCTAATAGGTACTTATTGACGAGTCTACTCAAGCAACAGAACCTGAGTGTTTTATCCCTCTGGTCCTTGGAGCAAAACAGGTATTAAAGGATTCCAAGGAAGATATTTTGTTTTATTTCTCTGTTATCGGCTGATCACAGTTTTTTTTTGCATTAGGCTGTTCTTGTTGGCGATCATTGCCAACTTGGTCCTGTCATTATGTGCAAGAAAGCGGCCCGTGCTGGCTTGGCACAATCTCTTTTTGAACGCCTGGTGCTGCTTGGTGTTAAGCCAATTAGGTTACAGGTACTGCTTTGTTCTGCCTGCTCTTTTTGAATTTGCATCTTTCATCACTTGGTAATGAAGGAATTATGTTAGTTTGCCTAGTGTCTGAAGATGCTGAGAGCCTGAGAAACAGGCATTGAACGGAATATGGTATTCTTTCGCTGTCTAATGGTTATGCACTTAATAATCCCTTATTGCTAATTTCAGGTTCAATACCGTATGCACCCAGCTTTGTCTGAGTTTCCTTCCAACAGTTTTTATGAAGGCACTCTCCAGAATGGAGTCACGATTAATGAAAGGCAAACATCGGGGATTGACTTTCCCTGGCCTGTGCCTAATCGTCCCATGTTTTTCTATGTCCAGGTATGAAAAATTACATGGGGATTACTTTAAGATGTGTATGGTCCATTCGAGCAAAATTGTCTCTACATTTACCAACATCATTTTTCCCAAGCCCTTGAGACCAGCTACTGATTTTCTCTTATCTGTCACTTATCCTGTTACTTTACAGTTGGGACAAGAGGAGATCAGTGCTAGTGGAACTTCGTATTTGAATCGAACTGAGGCCGCTAACGTTGAGAAGATTGTGACCACTTTCTTAAAGAGTGGAGTAGTTCCTGGCCAGGTGAGTCTACTAGGATTTTTTTACCTATATTACTTGGACTGTTGGTATCTATTAACGTTATCCAATCATGTTCATTGTTGACAGATTGGAGTGATAACCCCATACGAGGGACAGAGGGCATATATTGTAAATTACATGTCGAGAAATGGTGCTCTCAGACAACAACTTTACAAGGAAATTGAGGTGCTATTGAGGTCCATTTCAAAAAGTTATCAAATCTAGTACTTCATTTATTAACAAGTTTTCATAATCACAGGTCGCTAGTGTTGATTCTTTTCAAGGAAGGGAAAAAGATTACATCATATTGTCCTGTGTGAGAAGCAACGAGCATCAGGTTTGTGAGTGCTCTCTGTTAATAAAGCTCTGTATTGTGTGCTGGAGCTAATCAAATCTTCTGAGTTAGATTTTTCTTCCTTTTGTGTGTCGCTTTACTTCTGAGGGATACAACTTAGCACTTTGTAACTCCTGATTCTGTTCTTTTAGGGCATTGGATTTCTTAATGATCCTAGGAGGCTCAATGTTGCTCTTACCCGTGCTCGTTATGGGATTGTTATTCTTGGAAACCCTAAGGTTCTCAGTAAACAGCCTCTGTGGAATGGCTTGCTGACGCATTACAAGGTACTTTCCTTTCTTTTAGCGGAAACAAATTCTTTTGTCAGATTGTTCTGTCTTTCTTCTACTGTTGCTGCAGTTGGTACTATTTTTCTCGGTAGGGCTTTGAGGCCTTGTCCTGGTGCTTCAAATGGATGAATAATGCAAATGCATGTTATGTCATATGAGACTGATTTGTGTTTTCCCGTTATTTTGTTTCAATATCTAGGAACATGAGTGCTTGGTCGAGGGGCCTCTGAATAATTTAAAGCAAAGCATGGTACAATTTCAGAAACCAAGAAAGGTATTTAATGATTCCAGTGTTCATTTCCATTTCCATTTCGAAGATCTGATATGCAGAAAGCATTTTCACTTTTAACCCCTTTTCAATTGGGTTCCAGATTTACAATGACCGGAGGCTGTTTTATGGTGGTGGGGCTGGAATTATGGGAAACGAAAACTCTACTGCTGATAGGAGAGGTGGTCGTGGAAGGGGTAAATAACTGGTAGTTTCCTGCTTGTTTTGGTTTTCGTATGATTTATTGTGTCAACTTTTTCCTTGTTCAAAACAGCTGTTGGCTCTTATCTGCCTCCTGGCCCTCTCAATGGCGCTAGACCTGGACTCCATCCAGCTGGATATCCAATGCCTAGGGTACCACTTCAACCCTTTCCTGGTGGTCCTCCTTCTCAGCCATATGCCATTCCAGCTCGTGGGCCTGTAGGTGCTGTTCCTCATGTTCCCCAACCTGGAAATCACGGTTTTGGTAGTGGACGTGGAAATCCAATCGGCGGCCACCTTCCCCACCAACAAGCGACTCAGCAAAATGTTGGGACTATTGGTCCTAGTTTTAACTTTCCCCTGGAGAGTCCAAGTAGCCAGCCTTCTGCGGGTGGTCCGCTATCTCAACCTGGATATGTAAATAATGTTTGTATTTTTCTTTCAAGTTCTTGTCTATTCATTGACTTATTCGGTTTTTTTCTGGAAATATATTTGATGCTTTTAGTTGCCTGTCCAGGGAAGTCAGACCTTCAGAGATGGATTTTCTATGGGTGGCATATCGCAGGTTTTATCTCACCTAGTCCTTCTGCTGGATTTTTTGTGCTTTTTGTTCACTAGGTATTTTTCCACTTTTTGTTTTTATGTTTATTGGTTGTAAAGTTCTCCTATTGCGACTGACGGCAGGATTTCTTGGGTGATGACTTTAAGAGCCAGGGATCTCATGTTCCTTACAATGTGGCTGACTTTTCTACTCAGGTATATTGTTTGTTCTGTTACCAATGAGATTATGAGAACAATTCTGTCAATTCATGTTTGGATAGGGTGGTATGCTGTACAAAATTCTACCCGCTCCATCCATGCGGAAGATTGGGAAATTGGGTTTTTAGAGTTTGCTGCTTTGTGATAAATTTTTACTGATTCATGTTGCAATATTGTTGTTTCATTTTTCTTTTCCTCTGTTTGGCTAAATATTTAACGGGCTTTGCACCGTGATTGTGTTGAACTGTTTGTAGGCCTCACAGAGTGGATATGCTGTTGATTATGCCACACAAGGAGCCCATGGGGCATTTTCTGGGAACTTCCTAAACCAGAATTCTCAAGTGGGTTATTCTCGTTTTGGTGGAGGAAATGATTTCATGTCCCAGGTGTGTTTCACTGGGGTCTTGTTTTAACAATGAATCGTATATTTGTTTACCTCTCTTAAGATCACTTTTGTTCTGACAGGAGTACATGGCACATGGGTCACAAGGTCTTTTTACCCAGGCTGGCTTTACCGATCCCTCACAAGACGATGGCCAGAAGAATCAATATGGTGTGAACAACCCTAGCCATCTTCAGGCTCAGGTTTCTCTTTCCACCCGATGCTAAATTGAAGAATCCTGTTGATGCTAAGTTATCTAGCAGACAGTTCTTTTTAAATTTCTTTTCGCTAGCCTCACTGAAGATTCATCAAATTAAAAGAGTTATCATAACAACCATTGAGGAGGACAAGTGTCTTCCTGAAAAATTAAAAGAGTTGAAGCTTCACACGCTTTATTTGCAAATCTATGAGCACATCAAATAATGATACTTATAGGTGTATGTGTGGTTGTTTCAGGGTCTGCCAAATTCACTCTATTCGCAGCCTTTCTCACACTACAACACACAGCCACTGAACTTGTCCAACCCCCAGCAGTCTCAACCTGGCCAGGGCTCTCAGAACCCGAAACTTCCCTACAATGGCTGAGGGGACGAAAAGAGCTGGGATTCAAATGGGTTATGGTCTTTGCAATTCAGCAACTTGGTTTTTGCTGTCTAGTGATCCAACAAATGCCTTGTGGTTTCCTGGTGTTTGAAAGGTGAGTCTCGTTCTGTGCCTTCACCAACCCCCCTGATAGAGATTCTATTCTTCGTTTTGGAAATAACACTAAAAGAAGGGAAAAAAGAATGAAAAAAAAAGGAAAACTGGCAGCATAACAAGGGCCGAAAGAAAAAGGAGTAACCCTGGTACCTGGAAATTTTGTGTGGGTGACTTGAGAAAGCGCAGGAGAAGGGAAGTAATATGATGGTGAGATATGGGAGGAAGAGATTATTACATGACATGAGATTGGTCGAAAGGGTTAGAAGAGAGTGGTTTACGAAGATACAACTATGGAGAAATGGGACTTTGGGCAAAGAAGCAGTTGCTGGAGTGAATGATTTTTTTTTATACAGAGCCTACCTCAGAGGAAAGTGTTGGTGGCCGTAACCCTTTTTCGACTTCGTTTCGGAAGTGTAATTATACTCTGGATGCCCACAATTAGGTCGTACCTTAGTAATCGGGAGTCATTTGTTTTTATCACTCAAAATACCGAAGTAAAAGGGGTTTCATTGTTGGTTTGGTGATACTAACACCATACTTATGGTCGGATGCGGTGGCTGGTTTTAATCCTTGTTTGGATTTGATCATCATCCCCTTCATGCATGCATTCTTACATACATCCATGCACGGGTGTGTTCGGTAGCTAGCTGAATGTCATATCAGTGACTCAGTATAGTCATCTTGAAAGTAGGGGTTTGGTCGAATTTTTGGACTTCAGGTCTTGAGGCTTGTGTCGGCGATGCCATTTGAAATCATTTGACAGAAGATTTGATCGTCTTGGAAGTAGAGTAGAGGTATCATTTGTCCATTTCTCTGAATTCTTTTTATATTTTGGATGATCCAACACGATTTTAGTGTTCAAAACGCAACGGTGTGTCTAATATTATATATTATGAACAAAGCCCAATTCCAGACGAGTGATTCATGGGGCAATGCCTCCCATTTCCAGTGTAGTTAGTGGGCCCACACCCAATACCAGTTTCTCCTTTGGGCCGAGAAGCCTAAGAACCCAAAAGCCCAGATAGAGGAAATACTCAAGAAAGCTCACCATATGTAGGCAGAGAATAGAAACCAAACGAGGCAAAATCCGAAGCTCTGTTTGGAGGATCCATATTTGCGGATGTAGTCCCTCTATTAGGGGTGAAAAAACGTGAGATCCGCGGGTTTTTGTCATTCTATTTCGCGGTTAACTGAATTTAATTATTTGGGAGACAATGTGATTGATATCGGGTTTTATTAGACAAAAATTTTGAGTTTTGGGTTCGGGTTTAGATTTCGGTACTTCGTGATGAGTTATCTTACGGATACTCGAATAATTTATATATATAATTATAGTTTTATGATTATTTGCTAAAATATGGTATGTTTTATTTGAAAACTTAGTTGATGATTTGTTGATTTTTGTAAATTTAGATTGAAATTTATATATTTTGGATGATGGCGGAACAATTTTGTATAATTTTGACATGAAATATTTCTATCATTCAATTATATAAGATCTATTTTAAATTTTTAATATCCACGGGTTCGGGTTTTGCGGTACTCGACTTTATGTCACGGGTATCCGTACCCACAGATACTCGAATCTCGTGAGTGCGAGATATTACCTACCAATAAATCGACGAGATTGAGATTGAGATAGGATACCTTAAAAAGTTTGGGTACTCAGGCCGGATGAGTTCTACCTTCTATAGGCCAAACTATGGCCTCTTAAAACTCTCACTGCCCTCTAAGTAATTAGTAAGGCACCCTACGCCCACGGTGTACGATGAAACCCTGTCTGCCCACCAATTGGGCCCAAACAAGTCCAATTCGAGTCTCATCTTGGGTCCTATCTTGGCCGAATTTAGGTCCAAACCTTGTCTACATTGGGGCCCAGTTTAGGCCCATTTATCGATTGGCGCATTTTGCGGCCCGTTATCAGGATTGCATTTTAGAAAATCATTTGATTTTGTGTTAAAAAAATGATACATGTATATACGTGGTGTTTTTGTATTAAAATATGAATAAAAGATGGGGTGGACAAACACCACTAAAAGGTAATACCAGAAAGATTTAAAAAATGAGAATAAAAAAGAAAATTTAAAAATTAAAACCATGATTGATGTTTTCGTTAAAAGGGAAAAACATTATAATTTTGAAACCATAAGGCGGAATTAATCTCAAGGCCGACAAGCGAGCGGGAAAAAAGGGAAAAAGAAAAATGATATGTTTGAAAAATAAAGGGAGAAGAATCGTTCACGCGCCTGAAAACCAAAAAATCGAAAAAGTACCCAAAATCCCTGGGTTATAGGTTGGCGATTTGACGGCGGTGACGTCCACGCGCGATTGCTGCACGTATGATTTACCAAACCATTACCTTCCCTTTTTTAATGTCCTTTTTATTTAAAATATTTTTTCAGCGAGATCTCCTTTCCGTAAAAATTGAAGTAGCTAATTCTTCTAAAAATGATTTAGGTATTTCTCAAACATATTTTTAAAAGTTATTTTTAAACTAATTTTTTTATAGTTCAAATACAAAAAATAACGTTAAGAATAAATCCTAAATTTAAAATAAAATCCTAAAATAATAAATTATCATACTTACACAAAAAAAATTTACGATGTAAACTTCCACCTAAAAATTTAAATTATTACATTTACACAAAAATATATAACTATTCCAATTTTTTAAAATAATAATATAATGAATTAGTAATGAAATATTCGAAATTATAATGGTTACATACAAATATGTATCTATATTTATTGGAATGGTTTGATTTAATTTGATTTGGTTTAGTTTGGTTAGGATTTATTAGGGTGTTTCCCCTATTGTATTTAAGAAACATTATGCTATTTGGATCGAGGTACAGTATAGAAAACGTTTGTTCTGTATTCAACATCTCTTCTTCTTCCTCTCCATATTGTGACTTTTCTTCTTATTTTTCTCTATAAGTATTTTAAAAAAATAATATAATGAATTAGTAATGAAATATTCGAAATTGTAATGGTTATATAAAATTATGTATATATATTAATAATGAAATATATTAATATTCGACAAAAGGGGGCTTCATAGTATCAATTACCCACCATCCGATCCTCCATAATCCAAATCATCATCGGGAATTGGTAAATAATTGTATACCCATTCACAAGCATTGTACAAATACATTCCTTATACGCAGCTTGACAGAGTATAATAGATACAGAGAGAGAGAGATGATCAGATGGGTGTCTTAACCTGCGCACCGGCTCCATCTCTGTGATTTCGGAGACAGAGACACTGAGTGGATGTATTTTGTTTTTTGCTTTACGACCACACCAGAGATTTCGTGTTATAATTTAGAGTGGAGCCGCCAAGGGCAGTCTCCTCCTCCTTCGAACGCATTCTCCAGCACGTCCTCCATTCTCTTCGCCAGTATTATCTGCACACTCCCCCGAACCAGTCCGTTTCACACACATATATATATATATATATATATATATATATATACATGTATAAGCATGAAGAAAGACAGGAATTCCCAAAGTCCTACTGTTTTGAAAAAAAAAAAACTTTTTTTTTATGTGAGAAATAAAGCTTCATCATCCACGTCAATTTCTGCTATTTTAGGAAAGGCTGTATGGTTTTTAAGCATTATTTTAGGATTACAGCTTACCTCCAGACTGGAGATTACGGCTGCGGGCACTTCAACCAGGTCTTTCAAGTTCCTCTCTGGCAGGATCACCCTCTTGATGCCATATCTGTGTGCAGCCAGTATCTGCTCATTGCATGTACAACCACCCCAACTGAGTATTAACATCCTACATTGCAATTTCTTTCCATTTAAGATAATGCTTTTGTCTCTGTCCACACATGTTTGTTCACTACAATAAGAATCGAGTTCTATCATAAATAATTACTGTCCAACTCCAACTCTTGCTGGCACTTCATGAATGAAAAATAAATAAATAACGAAATTACTTTTTTACCTTGCTTCCAGAACCAAGACAAGAGGGGTAAACCTTCTTTTTCTCTTTTTAGTTTTTACCCTCTCAGCCAAGGGAGATAAACTTAAACCTCGAACATAATAAAGGTACTAGTACTGGTTTCTGACATGTACCTTACCTTATCTTTGATACCACCAACAGGAAGAACGAGACCCCTGAGCGTCATCTCCCCAGTCATGGCTGTGTCTGCCCTCACTCGTTTCTGACTGAACAGCGAAACCAGAGCCGTCACAAGAGTCACTCCGGCTGAAGGTCCATCTTTCGGCACTGCACCTGCTGGGAAATGGATGTGGATGTCCCGTCCTTCCAGCACATTCATGTCCCCAGCAAAAGTTAACTTCAAATCCGTTGCACGGGCTCTTACCTATGCATAACTTATCAACTTATAAAGACTTTTAAATTGTAGATCATGAGGTTTTGCATGGGTGATATATGTGTTTGGAAGAAAACCAAAGAAACCATGCTCATATGTTAGAGCAACATTACTGGTCTTTTTTTACAGTGCGCCCCCCCCCCCCTTTCTCTCACCCCTTCAATTTTTGATAGACTATGGCGAAGCACGAGTGTCTAACACTTCACGGTAAAGGAGTTTAATGTGAAGGCTTAACACCCAAAAGCAAGAAGGGGAGAGATGTTTACCCATGTGAGAGCTAATTGAGCTGATTCTTTGATAATATCCCCAAGTTGGCCTGTCAGATGCAAATCGCCCTTGCCCACCATAGATGTCGCCTCCACAAACTGGACCTCCCCGCCAAATGTAGTCCAAACAAGCCCCACAGATACGCCAGGTGTTGCCACCCGATCAGCAGCTTCTGTGTCGTCAAACCTTGGAGGCTGCCATGTTGCACAGGCAGTGTCATAGGTTGATGTTTGATTAGTATCACAATAAGTAAACAACCTACTCAGGCTCTATTACCACACAAAAGTTCAGAAACTAAATTAACTTTAAAAGGTAATGTTCCATGACAAAGTAACTTTCAGACTCAACAATACAACCGAGGCAAATCGGGTTTCACTTGCATTCCACACAAAAGACTCATCTCCCAAATAGGAAAAAAAAGAGGGAGATAAGAAGAGTCTTACCCCAAGGGTTTTTTCAAGCATGCACTCATCCACCACCAAAGCTGAGGGACTATGGAACGTACAAGATATGTCAAGCTTATTTACATCCATCGGAATGACTTCCATTTCCACTGCACCCCCCTCAGATACTCTGCCATTAAGCAGAGGAGAGGCAAGTTTCTGCACATCTTTGCTCACCGGGAGAGTTTGTTCATTTTCTGCAACCATCACAGCTGCTGCACGAGCCAATGCTGCCAAGTTCCTTTCTAGATTGCGGACACCAGCTTCCCTAGTGTACCTCTGAATTGTAAGCTTCACCATAGCCTATAACAAATCGAAGGAGAAGAAGAGAAACTGCATAAGCCCACATGAGAGGCAATCCTTAGTAATAAATGAAACCTTTGAAACAAGGGTACCTCCGGAATCTCAAGGAACTCAGAATTCAGCCCATGCTGTTCCAAAACACGAGGAATCAAATGTCGCATGGCTATCTTTAGCTTTTCTTCTTGTGTGTAACCTGGCAACTCTATCAGTTCCATCCTGTCTAAAAGTGGAGGTGGAATAGGCTGAACCCTATTCGCCGTGGCCACAAAAATCACCTTTGATAAGTCAAAGGGAACATTCAGATAGCTAATGTCTCAGTTAAGGAGTAACTCTGTTAATACCATGAGATAGTTACACAATATAGACGAGCATACTAGCATATTAAACTCAGTGACAACTGCACAGCAAAATGAAAGAATGTGTACACCTGAGAAGGGATAAAAAGCAAAATTGAAACATCAAGAAATATGCCACAGCGCTTAAGAAGATTGGTATTTGGATCTAAATTAGAAGTTGATCAAAATCATTATACATAAAGGTAACTGGCAACACGAATAGGATACTGGTCATTAAAAGATTTGTTTTGCTCTGGGTCCAAAACTTCCAGCAGAGCAGAAGCTGGATCACCCCGGACATCAGAGCCTGTTTTGTCAATCTCATCCAATAGCATAACTGGATTGCAGACACCTACCCTCTAACATCCATAACATAAAACCGAAAACTTAGTGATAAGAAAATAAAGAAAACCATCAGATGGAATAAGATTGACAGAGATCCAACAAAAATTAATAAGATTGACAATAGAGGACACAGGAGAACCTACATAGGAAGCATGCCTGGAGAAAGAAACTAACCTTTAATCCATCAATGAGGCGCCCCGGCATGCTTCCTATGTAGGTTCTCCTGTGTCCTCTAATGTCAGCCTCATCCTTCACACCTCCCAAAGATAAGCGGATAAATTTTCTGCCCAATGCAGCCGCTATGGATGATGCCAAAGATGTCTTCCCCACTCCCGGAGGACCAACAAAGCACAAAACTGGGCCCCTTGCATCTGGTTTAAGCTGCAATTGATAAGTTCCAATCAAGATAGAGCATGAAACCACAAATCAAAAGCTGAGTCTTTCTAAAAAGACAAAAAGAAAAGGACTCTACCTTTCGTACAGCCAAATATTCAATGATCCGCTGCTTGACCTTTGCTAAACCATAGTGATCGCTGTCAAGACGTTCTTTTGCTGCTTTTAGATCCAATTCACGTTCTTCGCTTGCCTTTTCCCATGGAAGATCAGCCAACAGCTCCAGGTAAACACGTGAACTATTATATCCAGGTTGCTGCGGTTGCATCTTCTTAAGCCTCCTGCACAACAACATGAGAAAGGAAATAACTAATGAGCAAAAGCATAACAGAAGCTACTTACCTCCTTTTCCATCAAATTCAAGGTCACAAGAGAAAAGATAAACTAGAAGTAATTATTATGAACACAAATTTTCATCTGTCTGCTCGGTGTCACTACTGCTGCAACAACAGAAATAGTTCAGTTAACCGCAAAACATACCTCAATTCCCTCTGAGCATGCTTCCATATGTGTGGTGGCATCCCTGCATCTTGCATCTTTCTTTCAAGCGCCACTATATCATCTTCATCATCGTCATTGTCACCAAGCTCCTCTTTTATAGCCCTCATCTGCAATACAGCTCAAGGCAACAAAACAGTGATACATCATAAAAAGTTCGCTCTGTCTGACAGTGGTTTCCATGTAAAACATGCCCCTTGAAAGTATGTCCAGAATGTTGCAAGAACCCAACCTGTTGACGCAAAAGATACTCCTTCTGTGACTTTGACAACTGTCCCTCCACCTTTTGTGTTATCTTCTCTGCCACGCGTATCGACTGTCACAAGTAACCATCAAGATTACTTCATAAATCCCAAAAGAAAGCACAACCTAGACAAGAACTCTGAATTACAATACCATTAGCTACCTGCAAATGGCGGTCGACTAGCACCGTAGCCTTTGAAATTCTTACTTTAAGGTCAACCGAGTCCAACATAGACAGCTGTTCTTCAAAACTCATCTCAAAGCTAGCAACAAATATGTCTGCTAGTTTATGAATAGGAACAGTTTCCAAAAGAACTTTCGTTCTTCCACCAGTCTTTTGTTTCTGAAACAATGACCAGTAACTTACAAATTAAATTTCAGGACTCAAGCACAGTTCTCTCATAAGGTCACGAGTATCATGAGATAGAAATCATGTAATTTGAGGAAAGGGTAAAGAACCCCAAAAAGAAAAATCAATTTCTTGAACAAGGGAAGGGTATCTTTAACTTCAAAGAAGTCAAGTTATAAAATTATTATCACATCTAATTCTGAGGCAATCAAGAAACTATTAAGAAGAGAAGAACCTAAATATTAAGGTCCTCCCTGTTTCACTAACATTACCTGCTCAAGCACAGAGACCAGCTCCATAGCAGTTGCCTTGAACTGGCGAGACAGTGCCACGAAGTCTGGATCTTGTTCCACTTGTTCCAACTCTGAACATGACCAGGAAAGGGGAACCAGCTGAGGACCTCAATGGACCAGGAAAGGGGAACCAGCTGAGGCTGGGACTAAGTTTGATGATTAAACCATTTGAAAAGAAAAAAAAACATTACTCTAAAACACGAAAGAACAGTGGGGACATAGGACAGAAATTCTGTACTGATAGTGGCTAATCAATTGCAACCCGCCGAGCAAATGATACTCAGCACAGAGAAAATTTTGGACATGATATTCTGAAATGAAAATGATCCAACTTACCCGTTTTTGTCATCTCAAGTGAAGTAATTCTAGCGACTGAGTATGGTCCTCTTTTGCCAAGCTCCTGCACACTAAACCGGCTCAGACCTTCGAGGACAACCACATAGGTAACTCTTCCGCTTGGTTTCTCTACGCCTCTTGAAAGATGCAGAGCACGAGCTGCTACTCCCCTGAAAAGTAGGAAACCAAAAGATTGCTTAACATCTAAAGGCGCTTCAGAACTTCTTGAATCGGAGTTGTTAGTATTAGTTTTACCAAAAATAGTATGATATTACATTGCGGAAACAAGACAGAGCTTCGAAATTAGACAGTACCTGTTATGCCAGTGAACTTCCTGCTATATATATGTCAAAATCATTATACATAAAGGTAACTGGCAACACGAATAGGATACTGGTCATTAAAAGATTTGTTTTGCTCTGGGTCCAAAACTTCCAGCAGAGCAGAAGCTGGATCACCCCGGACATCAGAGCCTGTTTTGTCAATCTCATCCAATAGCATAACTGGATTGCAGACACCTACCCTCTAACATCCATAACATAAAACCGAAAACTTAGTGATAAGAAAATAAAGAAAACCATCAGATGGAATAAGATTGACAGAGATCCAACAAAAATTAATAAGATTGACAATAGAGGACACAGGAGAACTCCTGCTGATCTCTAGCTTCAGACCCGTGAGCATCTGCTGTGACCACTTGATGCTTGATCCCTTTTTCTCCAGAATCACTCCCAACACCTTATCAAGGAAAAATAAATCAATAGTTAATTGTTCAAGGCGTCCAAGCACGCTCATATGAATCTCCAATAACCCGTAGTACCTGGAGTAATCAGTGTTCCGAATGGTGCTGTTTCGCCAGCATCTCGGACGGGCAGAATTCCAATTAATCCCTTTTCTTCTTTCTGCCATAGCTCTTGCTCTACCAGTGTCACGCTTAGTTTGGAAACGATATACCACAATTTCACCAAATTAATAAGCTCATTCACATCTCGAGAACCAGAACCCTTGTTTAACAAAAATTGCATTACATATCATATATAAGTCCAGCAAAAACAAAGGAAAACTATTAACAGAAAGTAACAGTCGAAAACCCTAGGAAAATTCTCGAAAGTAAATGAAAACGAAGCAGAACTTCAAATTCGATACTCTCATCAATATCGTCTCGAGCTTTCTATCGCATGATCGCAATTAGGTTACAGTCTTCTCTTCCGTAACATCAAATTTCTGCCAAACAAGGCGAGAAATGACTCTATAGGGAACCAAGAAACAACAAAAACATTCGAGTGGCGAGAAAGCTATACCTGCTATGAGAAGTACAACGGATTCGAATAATGGCGCCAGGCAAGAGAACCTTGTTCCGGAAGGGAAGAATCGCTAACCTACTCGGTAGCTCCACGGATTCCACCATTGCTGTCTTGTACGAGGTCAGAATTCGAAGGAGAAAGAAAAAGGGAAAATAATTTAACCGCTCGATCGCTTGCTCGCACTGGCTTATAACAGCGACGGGTTTTCTCGTGCCATGTTTCGTCCCCTCTTAATTATTTGACTGTCCAAATAAATATGCAGCTTATTTAGATTTTTTTTATCATATACATATTACAAATAATTTATATTTATTTTTTATAAATATATTTACATGTTAATTTGTGGACTATATTATATATGGCTGATGGTAAATCAATTTTGTAATTTTATATGTATCTTTGATTTTTCAAACAGGGGTTCATGGAAAAGATTAAAATATTCTATTGATTATGTTGTTTCTCAACGTGTATACGTTTTAAAAACGTTATCTGGTTCATCTATTTGTGATTATGAGTGTGACACCAATAGTTTGTTATAATTTGAATTCTAAATTAAAATATTGATCATAGTTCGGCTCAACAGACAGATTCCATCCACGTGGCGGGTAAGGGAAGGCAATCTACTACGTATAGCATCCGTACGTACGGTCCATGCGGTATATCCAAAACACACCGAGATAATATAAACTTATATTTTTTTGTCCAACATAATTTATGAAAAAACTTTATCATATGTATATATACGTAGGGCTGTTATTTTTCTTACATTATTTATTCGGATATGTGTAGGTAAGGGAAGAATATTAACAATATCCATTGGCTGGAAGTTGGAACAAATTAAACAGGGAAAAAATGACTTAATCGTGAATTGAGAATCCAACTTGTTATTAATAAAATTATAAAAACGAGACTGATATTTGCTAGAGATACATTAGAAAACCTGAACATTATTTCTATTTGGGGTTCTAACCAAAATGATAGGTTACACAGAGTATTGGACCGACCATCGTATCTATTTAACAATGGGTTACCGAAAAAACCCGGATTCAGGCCCATTAATTACCCAGTGGGCCAACTTGTTTGACCCAATTCGAAGTCCAATATAATATACTAATTCAAAATCTCCCGGAGAGAGAGATTGCCTTTGGAGTTTGGAGAGAAGGAAAAAAATATATAGAAATTTAAATTCTGTATGGTGGTCCGCCTCTCATTAATCATTATACCACTCAGTACTCGGGTTCGGTTCGAAAATAATTTGATTTGATTGTATAATAATCGGTTATTATATCATAGATTCTTTATTAAGAAATTTTTGATTTTTCAGTTTTTTATTAAAAAAAATTGATTTAGTTCGATTATAAAAAAAATTGGTTTTATAAAAAAAATTCGTTCTGAAATTTTAGATAGTTCAATTCAGAAAAAATACTGTATTTTTTTGTTGATTCGGTACGATTTAATTCTGAGAAATCGTACCGAAATGATCATTTCTAATACCAATTACCAATTATACTATAATATAAGACAAAACGAATCGTTTAAAAAGCAACAAGCGTACTAAAACAATTCGACTACTCGGATCAATATTAATGATAATTACTGATATTTATTTGTTATTTTCAGCATTATTGGTCTTCTTATTTCCCAATGGATTAATTTGGTTTCTCTATCCCTCCAATTATTTATTATTATTGTTTTTTTTTTAAATTAATACCGCCCAATGTATGTATGGTTGGTCCACTCATTCATAAAGGGTAAGCATTTCAAGATTATGGTTGTGACAGAATCTAACAATAACATTCCAATTTAATGGTTTACCTTCTTTGTCCTTTCAGACCCATTTTGATTTTTTAAAATTAAATTTCACACCCCAAAATCATTGGAATTTCATATATAGCACAAAAACATTTCAGCGTTGCATATTATAACTTCATTTTGTCAAAAAGGAGTCCCCCACGTTCACCGGCTGCACTTCAATGCGCATAATACACCATATAGTATTCATTTATAAATCAAAATGATAATGTGTGGGTTATGGTGATTTCAATTATTAAATATCTATAAAAAAAAATAGTGATTCTCAATAGCACGAAATATAGATTATTGCTGAAAATAATTGAAATAATTTAGATTTTTTTAGAGAAGATGTGAAAAAAGATGGAAGATGACAAAGAGTGCTCCATCCAGGCTCAAACCTCACTCTTGACAAATCACATATTATAAAAAAAAAGGTGAAAGATTAATGAAAGGGAATGGGGTGTTGGTGGATTTGATATTTTCTTGGATTAGTACCAAAAGAAAAAATTGCTCCGCATAAGCAAAAATTGGATATTACCCGATCGAAATAAGCCGAGTAGCGTAAATGGTCGAAGAAAAATGGAGATTCTTGTTTCAAATCTGATGTTCGAGTTACCATTGGAAAAAAGATTGTACAATTTAATTGTAACAACTTTATTTTCCAAATCGAGATGGATGTAATTGAGTCGAAGGTCGGTCAAAAATTAAAAGGAAAAAAAAAAGTTGGGCGTTGTCTTCCACCAAAAGAGATGTCCCTTGTTTTTCTCAATTTGACCTTGCTTTCGGAATCATTATGATTTGCATTATAGATTTAGATAGTCGGTCCAAATAACAATATTAATTAATTGGCTACACTACACCCACGTTAAGAATTAAGCACGGAAAAGGAAAAGAAAGGTAAATATGCGTGCATGGATACACAAGAGGAGACTGGAAAATTCTTAATGTGAAATAGGGAACATCATACATTGATTAAATTATGGAATAAGCAAGCACCACCCTTCTCTCGGTCAAGCCTAATTGGCTGAAATTCGGTAACCGAAAATAGGGGTGGCGTTTCGATTCGGTTCCGAGGGATCGAACCGAATCAAACCGAAAAATGTGGTATTTTTTTCAAATTGAACCGTCCAAAATTTATTAACGATATTTTTTAAAAAATTCGATTTTTTCGGAACCAAACCAAACCGAATTTTTAAAAAACCCCAAAAACCCAAAAAATTCTTATTAAGATTTAATTTATTTTTAATAAAAAACGTAACCGAACCGAATCGAACCGGGATCGAAACTGATCTTAACCGGATATAAATATTATCCGGCTGGTACATATTTTTGTAAAACCGAAAGAATCGAACCGAATCATTTTCAGACCGAACGTGAACCAAATACCCAAACATCCACCCTAACCGATAGAATTGTTTGTTTGGTATCATTTCCTCGCTAATTAAAATGGGAAATACAACTGAAAACCCCCATGCATTTATTGTGACATGTTCATCCATATGAAAAGACTAAATAGTTTGGACCAACACTTCAGTCTATACACGCACACACCGGCCCTCGGACAGGTGGGTGTATATATGTATATGTATATATATATACATATATTGTATTTGATGAGGATTAATTAGTTTTTTTTTTATTGAAAGCTACAATTTGGCTAATTGTATTTTGTGTAGAATGATATTAAATATTTGTTGGCTGAAGTGAAACGAAGTAGGTTATGTGGATTTGGTATGGACGGTCCAAAAGGGATTCGATTGGTCATCATCCCTTGGACAAAACAAACCAAATGCTTACCGATTTACGTGTCTCCTTCTGCATTTGGAATTACATGTGAGATTAGAGGACATGGAATGAATCAATATAAATCAATAATTAAAAATTATAGAAACAAATATGGAAATAAAAGATTTAGGGTTGAGAGGAACACATGATCCAATCTGACAACTGCCTGTCAAAGTTGGGAAGAGAAATTCATTGATTTTGCTTTGGTTGGGGTAATAATAACATCAACCCATTACCCAGTCGCAAGCCATCGCCTTTGGGGGGACACAACTAATATATTTAGTTTAGATATCAAGTTATTCTAAAAACAAAAAGGAAGAGACTCACCAATCATCAAAGTATAAAAAAAAACTCTGTGAAAGCAAAAAAAAAAAAAAAAGGAAATCATATATAACCATTGTCACATGAATATTTTGTATTTGAGCCGAGATATGTGAATGTGACGGTGTTATGGGAAAATTATACGTAATCAAATGAATCAGACTTTTGTATGCTAATGTTGCTTACACATTGGGATTTAAATTGACCGGTTTTTGTTTTTATCAACTCGAGGAAAAAATTAGTTGGGGAATTAAAAATGTTTGTTAGGGATATATATATATATATATATATATATAAGTGAGGATGGCATATTTTGTCAAGAGAATGAATGAATATCACACGTTCTGGCAAAGAATTCACATTTGGTGGTGGGTCATGGAAGGCCAAAGAACAAAGTGTGTGTCATGTCTATATCCCTATGCTATATAGTATATGGTCTTCCATTTTTATTTTCAAATTATTATTATTATTAGAAAGAAAATAGGAATAATAGATATCGAAAATAAGGTATGTGAGGGACGTTTAAGATGATTTTGACATGTATGCGTCGGTTAGAAAAATGGAGAGTATAGAAATAGAGATGAGAATGAAATGAATAGATAGACTTACACTTATTTGGGAACGTGCCATTAGAAACGATTTGGAAGTGTTGCAGATTCCGAATCTGGAATCGAAATGAATGGAGAAAAATGATTCATGCGGTCGATCCAAATGAAGTTGAAAATGACGCGATGTTATTGTTGTTGCTGTAGTATTATTATTATTATTATTATTATTATTATTATTATTATTATCATCATCATCATCATCATCATCATCATCATCATCATCATCATCATCATCATCATCATCATCATCATCATCATCATCATCATCATCATCATCATCATCATCGGATATTTCTTGTGATCACTTGGTATTATTGCCATTAACTAAAATCACAGGCTCATGGAAGATAAAAACTAGGGACCAAACTTATATGATAATATATATATAAAAGACTTGTGGTTTCTGAAAATTTAATTTGTTAGTCGTCTTGTTTAGTTGTTGTCAGATTGCTGTTTCAGCATCGTAATTTTTTACGACTGCCAAATAAATACATATGAATCTTTGCGTACAAGTGCACGAATATATATATACACACACACATATATATATATATATATATATATATATATATAATGTCATTATCGTGGACAAAGTCAAGTCATCTGTATGATGACCACAAATAAAATTAAATGAATGCAATAGGATCCTTTGTTTGATTTTTAAAAGCAGGGATTTAAAAAAAAAATTCATCGCCTCGAATACAACAAATTTCGTTCAATCTTTGTTTCAGTTTATACCGCATAAACTAACGTCATTAATTTGCAAACTAAATCACATTTTTCACCTTTTATTTTTCACATAATATTCTTCTAAATATTTGTTTAGCATAATCCAATCTTTTTATGATATATGGACTGTTAATATCTAAAAAAAAAGAAATATATAAACCACCTTGGACATAAGAACACGACACAGAGTCTTCCCATAAAAAAAAAAGGCCAAGCAACCCCAAAGGGACGACTAAAGCTCACGAAGAGAATACCAAGTTATTCCAAATTATTAAATAATACCAAAATCTTTTGCTTTTTTATTTTCAAATGATTAAATCCTATATTCATAGGAAAAGAAAAATATTTCTCTCAAATATAAACATTTATCTGTACTTTCTATGGATTTTAAATTTTTTTTTTTTTAACAATAACGCACCATTTTTTTTCCTTTCACCCTAATAACACACATTTTACAAGTGCAGATAAATATGATACCACTCGCATAAACTTACACGGTGGAGAATAAATAAAACCGGGTTTGGATGTATATTATTAATAATGATGACCACAACAAATAAAAAAAAATCAAAGTGTTACATAGTTTTTTTTATATATATAAATACAGTACGAGACGACGCATTCTAAGCTTTGGATTCATTAATGGCATTCATGCGCATTATGTGCGGAGAGCCTTGAAGAAGCCCACAGCGTTTCCCTTCTTTCCCAACACTCTCCCTTCTCCTCACCCATTTATTTCCCCGATACTTCCATTGTTCTTTGCATCGTTTCATCACCGCCACCATTTCCAATACCTGTATACACATATTTATTGTTATACGTCCACAACATATCTCTGCGAAAATCCGCATGGGTTCTTGAATTCATCTCTGAAAATGGCGGTTCAAGCTCAGCACCCTAACAATATCTTCTTCCTCAACAGGTGTCCTTCATCTTCTTACCCTTTTCCCTCTGTTTCTTTGTGTGTGTGTGTGTATGTATACGAGATCTTTCAACTTCTTATTCGCTGTATTCAGCAGAAACGGACAAGAAGGGAATGATTGCTCGCTGCAGCCCCAGAAACCCCATTCTCCTTTCATAAACGGTGGTCTGTTTTTATTTCCGATTGATTCTTCGCTTTATTCTTAAAAAAAGCCTTGGCCTTTTTTTCGGTTTTATCACGAGATTTTTTTTTTTGTTGGGGGATGAAAAACAGGGGTTGATACCAGAAAGCGATCGAGAGAGGTTTCGTCGGTGTATGAAACACAAGTCCCGACGACTCCGATGAACCCTCCGCCGCCGCATGTAATCGATTTGTCGCAGCTTCAGAATCGCCACCGCCGCAGCCAACCGCCGAATGTGGTATCCATTGGTCTTCATTTGTCTCCAGGCGACCGCCATGGGCAGCTGCAACAGTGCTCCTCTAATCAGGAACAGCAGTTCTCGTCTTCTCCCGTATTCCCCGGAGATCTCGCCGGAGAAATCAAACGGCAATCAGATGAGCTTGAACGATTCCTTCAGACCCAGGTAATTAATCTTCCTAAGTTTAAATGGGTTATCTTGCTTTCTTGAAAGTACCGAACTTTTTCATTTCTCAAAATTTTCGATGGTATTATGATTTGCAGGGTGAGCATCTTCGGCGCACGTTAGCGGAGAACAAAGAGAGGCACTATCGTGAGCTACTGAGCGCGGCGGAGGAGTTAGTTGCACGGAGGCTGAGAGAGAAAGAAGCGGAAGTGGAGAAGGTCACGCGCCGCCACGCGGAACTGGAGGCGCGTGCGGCGCAGCTGGCGGCGGACGCACGTGTCTGGCAGGTGAGAGCGGCAGCGCGGGAGGCGGAGGCGGCGTCGCTGCAGGCTCGTCTGCTGGAGGCGGTGGAGGCGGCGGATGCGGCGGCGGAGCACGGCGGAGGGGCGGAGGACGCGGGGTCGGTTCATGTGGATCCAGACAGATTTGATGTGGTCGGACCGAGTTGCAGGAACTGCCGGAGACGGGGGGCAACGGTGGTGGCGCTGCCGTGTCGGCATCTCTGTCTGTGTACGGAATGTGACAACGGCGAGAGGGTTTGCCCGCTTTGCCTCTCCTTGAAGAATTCAAGCGTCCAAGTTTTCTTTTCTTAATGGGCCTCATTGGCCCAACCCATCACGGCTATCTTACAAAATTACAAATGGGCGTTTTATTCCTAAAAGAAAAAATCTGATTAAATGCAAATTCTAAATATATTTTAAATATCGAAGCTGGGAGCTGATGTACGTAGCCACATGGAGTGATGGCATGGAAATTATTTTTTCGGGAAATTATTGAAAATAAATCGATAAGCCTGAATTTGTTTTATTTTGATGATTTACAGAACGCAATCCTTGGAAAGGTTCTATGTTCTGTTTGTGTTCTAAGAGCTGTAAAATTACATAAGTTGAACAAATAAATATAACCCTACTACATATACTAGATTGAATATATATATATATATATATATATATATATATAAGTATATATGTATGTAATGTGGGTAAACATTAAAAAAAAAAAAAGAGAGAGGCAAACGCCATAATCGGACAGCTTTAAACAAAAGAAGATTTGTTCACATTAAAAAGGTAAAAAATAATGTTTAGTAATAAAAATTCTCAGTAATATTAAACAAAGAATACTCAGACAAACACGGCGCCATAATTCCCAAAAAAGGTCTCCTAACATTAGAATGCCTTTGTCTCAAATCAAGGTAAGTGGAAGACAGTCTCAGATGTACCAAATAATTCTCATCACTAACATAACACACACACACACACACACACACACACACATATATATATATATATATATATATATATATGTGTACATAGTTTTTTTTTAAAAGAAAATGACAATTAAAAAAAAAATCCACTGTTATCACTTTTAGGGCTCGTGGTTATATCAGGATACTATATCTTGGATAATGTCTAGCCAAATCTAGAAAAACCCCCAAATTATTTTTTAAAAACAATTTTATTTTTCTTATGATGGAGCACTAGAGAGCCATGATTACGGGGGAAAAAAAGAAAAAGAAGAGGGGTCAATGAGGGATGTGATGATACATCATCGAGACAGTGATGCCGAGACATGATGGTTCAATCCTGTTGGTAATTATATCATACGATTCCATTTCCACCATGACCATCCTTCCTCTTCTAGTGTACTGTGTGTGTATGTATATGTATATATATATGGAATTTATCAACCCTTTCATATCTATGTTTGGTGAGACAAACTTTCCTTGCGAGTTGGATCAATTAACTCTGTCGGCTCCATGTGGCCATAATGCAATCCGACTATTCATGTGGGTACTATGTCCCTATGGACTATACATCTACCCATATGCAAATATCCCTCACACAATTGTCTAATCAAATGTTTTGACATATTACAAAACATATTTTACGGAAAAACCTGTGTATGATTAAATTTATAAATAAGATTCTTATTTTGAATATAAAACGATAACTTGAATCTTTTTTTATAAAAAAATAATATGGTTAGGAAAAGCGGTTACAAAATGTTCAAACTTGATGATGGTTAGAGGGGGCCCAAAAATTGAAAAAATGCAAATGGAGAGCTTTCGATCCAATTATGCACTATCGGCCCTCTGGGCCTCATCTTTTCAATGTTTTTGAGTCCAAATTCCCCCCAACGGGCTTTTAGATTCCTTTTGTAATGGAAAAGAAGAGAGGGAACGAATTTGAATTTTAATAAACGTACGGAGATTATAGGAATATGATAGGAAAACAAAGTGCGTGATTGGAATAAAGTATATAAAGGAAGTGGAATTGATGTGTGAGAGAGAGAGAGAGAGAGAGAGAGAGAGAGAGAGAGAGAGAGAATCTAACACGGGAAAGGAGAGGTTTCGTAATGAAGGACAAACCGGAGACATTGGAGACACGCGTAGCTTGGTCCATTTACACGTGTCAGCACTTGGCTGTTGATCCTTTCTCAATTGTGTGTATTGTGTATATTATATAGTGTGTGTGTATATATATCGATCGTAGTAAAGGTATGATAAAGCATGTAAAATTATGCAACAATTTGCTGACACACACAGCTTCGGTTCGGTGTTTTTATCATTATGATAAAATAATATTTAAATTAATTTTGTACTGATGATGTTTGCAAAGGACCGGTAGGTCCATGCCTTTAGGCTTTAGCCAACCTACACGTTAGGAAAAATCCGTCGTACTTTTTATTGATAAAGAGCGTTTTAATCCCATAGTTAATTTATCATTTTCCATATTTATAGTTTCAAATTATACATGTCAGAGTATATTATATCTCGATAATTATAAGATTACGGATTTTAATTTTAATTATAACATGTGTGAAATGGTACATATTAACTTAACTTTTCTTAATAAAAACCACACCTAAGCCATTCCAATTTCCAAACAAAATCAGATTTTATTTGTTTGGTTTTCTTTTTCGCATACGAAATCATACCTAATAATGGTCCATGGTGCGCCACAATGTGGTACCTTTTTTTTTATATAAAAATAAATAAACAAATCCCAAGCGACAAGGAAGCATATAAAAACATCGTTATAATTATGGTTAAATTATAAATTTAACACAATGTCAGGAAACGCATCATATGGAAGCATGTGCACAGATTTTTGCATTAGTTGTGTTACATTGGATGTATACTATATATATGTATGATTAAATTAATATTTTGTATTTAATTTTTGCATGGGTGAGGTAGTAACTTTCAAATGTCACGTAGAAAACTTTTCAACGCAAATGACGACACCTTGTTGAGCGACTGACTGATAGAAAAATCAAACATATTTAATGCATTATTAATAACAGCGACCAATGAAAAAAGGCATCGATTAAGTCGCGTGCTGGCCCAATAACACAAGCATATGACGGGATTTTATAAATTTTGAATATAACACAAAAAAACATTTGGCCAACACACATGTTTTCGGTAGATAAAAGGGACAATAGATGCATTTATTTTGTAGAATAATAATAATAATAATAATAATAATAATAATAATAATAATGGTTTAAGTTAACTATAGGTGGGATTGATTACAATGCATTTTATTTGAGCAACCATTGTTTCCGTTGACCTCTGCGTTTACCCAAAACATACCGTCGAAACAACGCCGGAGACCAGGGCCATCTAAGGGGCCCACTTTTCAAAGTGGGACCACATTTAATCACGCCATCAGTTGGTATAAAATTTATGTGTATATATAATACACAGATACTTTTCATAATTAACATAAAAATAAAAATAATTATCATCTTCTATGTATAAAACTGATACCCTATTCACGATGTCATAAACTGAATTCAAATCATTCTTTCTATAACGTCATCACTAACCACCACGAAAACCATAAAATAAAATACGAAAAAAAGGGAAAACGACAGCGTATAGGGATTCTCATTTATCGTAACTTAAATAATAATACTGAAAATAAATGACGTTACGGATGGAAAAAAAAGAAAGACAAAGTGGTGCGGTGACGCGTGTGGGGTCCAGAGCTCAATGTCCAAGTAGTCGTGGGTCCCATTGTTTTTTGTAGACCATGACTAGGATTTCTGGACTTTTCCCTTACCCCTCAGTTGTATCTCAAATAACGCTATTGACATTTATTTACCTTTTCCTTTTCCCCAGCTTCGCAAAGTAACCGGAGTGGGTGAAAAGTAATTTAGTCGCATTGGTTAAGTTTTTTAAGAAACTTTACTGTTCGCCACCATGTCAAAAGGTCCTCAATGAGATATTTTATTTATAGGTGAGTTATTAATTGCTGGGAATACTTTTTTTTGGGGGTCAAAATTCATAATGCTTGGAAACTTGTAGCCAACGCAAATGATGATGTCATTTAGGTGGGCGTTTCGGGAAACGGTTCGGGTTCGGGACGGAATAGATCGGTTCGGTTCTTTCGGTTTTACAAAAATAGATATCAATCGGATTTTTTTTATTGTATTCGGTTTGGTTCGGTTTCGGTATCGGTTCGGTTCGGTTCCGGTTTTTATTAAAAAAATGTTAGATTTCTTTTAAAAATATTCGGTTTTTCGGGATTTTTAAAGTACGGTTCGGTTCGGTTCAGTTCTGGAAAAATTCGGTTCTCTACAAATGGTACCGTTCGGGAAATAACAACGGTTTCGGATCGGAAAAAATACCGTTTTAACGATTCGATTCGGTTCGGTTCTGAAGAACCGAAACACTCAGCCCTACGTCTACGAATGATTTGGAGAAAATAAAAAAAAAATTATACGTAACTGAGAATTTGGAGAAAAGCTTGCCAATAAATAATTGGAGTTTTAAGTACGCACTCTAACTTCATTTTTATAATTATAGTCGTGCAAAAAAAAACCAAAGAAAACTTGAGCCCACATTCAAGTGAAATATTTGAAAAATGCCAATTTAAACCAATATAATGAATAAGAAATAAATATATGGTAACAAATCATTTATAAAAGAAAAAGTACAATATAATTAGTCAGAAAATACAAAATAGTTTAAGAAAAAAAAGTTGAAATACCTTTTTTTTGAGTAGTTTTGATGATACTTTGAAGGTTTTGCTTCCAAAGCCAATAGTTTCTCTCTCAGGTTTCCCCTGAAGAAAGATTGCCCCTTGTTTTTAACCCCCCCCCCTCTCTCTCTCTCTCTCTCTCTCTCTCTCTCTCTCTCTCTCTCTCTCTGCAGGAAAGCTGTTTTTGCTATGCTATAAAAGCCCGCCCCACTTTCCTCCAACCTCTTCACTTAGTGCTCTCTCTCTCTCTCTCTCCCCCTCCGCATTGATCAGTAATGGAGATTTCTGCAAGGAAGCCGTGTTTCATAGAAGGAGGAGACGATTGTATGGGTTCTCTGGCAGAGATGGAGGCTGGTGTTTCTTCCCAGAACGGTCCCTTCTGGGACATGAACCACTTGTGCCCAGGACAGGGGTATTCTCACCATCATCATCACTACTCCGTTTCAACTCCGAGATCTGTGGTTTCTGGAAGGTTTCACGACTCGAGATTCGAGAGAAGTTATTACAGCCCCCAACAGCCTCATTTCCTCGACTCTTGTACCCTCTGCAAGAAGCCTCTAGTCAAGATCGACATCTACATGTACAGGTAAACAGAACCCAGGTTATGATTTCCGCCAGTTTATAATGGAGAAAGTCGTTTTATTTGAGACGATGATTCGTATAGTTGTTGCATAGTACAGATTGGAGGAAATCTGGACTCAGATTATATGATTTGTGTTCTCCCTTGAATTCCAGATCTGCTTTGCGAAAGTCTGGAATTCTCTTTTCTACACATGAGTTTTTTGTTTCCCTTTATAAAGTTTCGATCTTTAATAAAACCCAGACATGATTTGGGATGCTCTCCCCGGCAAAGGGATTCGTGTGAATTCTAAAATTATACCAGAGTCTCGAATTCAATTATGGTTTTTGGGTTTGATGCAAGTTACTGCTTTTAGATCTGCTTTCCATGAAAGGAAGCAGCAGGGCCTGGTCTTGTTTTGGTCACCGGGAAAATTAAAGAGGGTGGTTGGAAAATGGAAATCTCACTGACATCTTTCTCAGTTAAAAAAAAGAGTTTTTTTTGTAGACACAATGGTTCACTCGAACACCTAATGAACATGTTTCATGATAAAAGGATAAACTTTGGGTTTCCACATGGATCTGATGTCGGAAGGCCGTATGATTTTGCAGAGGGGACATACCGTTCTGCAGTGAAGAGTGTAGAAAAGAGCATATAGACAGAGATGAGGAGAAAGAGAAGAAGAAGAGAGTGTCTTCTTCGGTGAAGGCAATGAGGAGAAAAGAACAGAGCTCTTCTGCTTCTTCGTCTCCCTCGGATTATGCTTTTAAAACTGGAACTGTTGCTGCTGCTTGATTCCTCCTCATGAAATCATGAGTTCTACTTGAGGCGCGCACACAAAAAAAAAAAAAAAAAAAAAAGGGGGGAATGAACGAAAA